TCTCTCTCTCTCTCTCTCTCTCTCTCTCTCTCTCTCTCTCTCTCTCTCTCTTTCTTTCCACCTGTCCTCTACTCTTACCGTTCACCCACCACCATGTATATTCCACAAGTATGTCCACTACGTACCTCACTCTATGTCCAGTCTACTTCACCAAGTGACCTCCTTGTTTCAGAGCACAATTCCAACGTCCTGGAAATTATTCTCAGGACTGTGCAGGAACTGCAAGGAGAGAGTCTGAAAACCAACCGAAGACTGTCGGGTCTGGAAGCCAAAGTGACCAGTCTGGTAGACCGGACCCCCGGTACCCCTACACCGAGCCCCAGGACCCCCGGTACCCCTACACCGGTCCCCCAGACCCCCGGTACCAGCGAGTCCTCCGCCAAGGAAGAAATCCTAGCGGAGATTCGCAAACAATCCCAATACACGAAGGCCTATCTGGAGCTGAGCGTGAATGACGCGGAGACAGTCGTGATGTCAGAAATCACGGAAACTAAACGCGTACTCTCCTCGAGAATAAAAAACCTGTCTAAAAGTGTACAAGCAAATAACAGGAGAAATAACAACTCAAATTCCAAAATAGGCAGACTCATCAAAATTACCGCCTTCACAAACACGAAAATAAAACAAAAACTAGGAAAGATTAAGGAGTCTATCAACGAGGCAACGGGCAGAGTGAATGAGCTCTGCGATACGGGCAAGAAAAACTTCGCTATAGTTGAAAAAATGAGGGAGGATTTTGGGACGGGGGGTCGGGTCCTGGCATTGTTACGGGCAGACAGTAGGGCGGTTATTGACCAAGTCGTAACCGAAGGAGAGATTATGCGGGAGGTGGTAAGGGGGGTAAGAGAAACGCAGGGAACGTACACGTGTGACTTTTACGTCACACAATTCAGTGACTGGGTGGGGTCGGGGGAAGAACATTACAGCCGGCTCTGGTACATAGACCAGAGCAAAACTTATTTAAAGGGTAACGTGGGTTTTAAAAAAGACAAGAAAATTGAAGTGTGGCTGGTTCACGGTCGGCACCCGCACGTTGTGGGTCTGGCCGGTCGGACTGGAGCACGTGTCAGAGTGAGTGTGGCGGTGGTGAGACAGACAGGGACAGGGGACAACTGGGAGCTGGGGAGTGAGGTGGAGAATTTTGACGAGACGACCATCCCTGTAGGGTGGGATGGCTGGGTGGGTGTCTGGGGATGTGGTGTAGCCTCCGACGTGTCTTGTGATGAGCTGTACACACGGGGGTTGGTGAATGAGGTGGGAGACACAGTTCTTTTCCGGTACACCATCACTGTACTGTAGGTGATAGAGGCGGGGGTCTTGGGGGTGTCGACGGTCAGACACCCAAACAGACACACAGTCAGACACACAGACAGGCACACAAACAGATAGACACTCTGACAGACACACAGAGAGGCAGTCATGCAGGATGATAGATAGATAGATAGATAGATAGATAGATAGATAGATAGATACTACCTTCCCCATTTCCTGAGGAGCTCAGTCAGTCTGTCCGTTTGCCCGTCAGTCAGTCCCCTTGTTAAAAAGTCACTCCTTTACAAAGTTAATCAATCAATTAATCAATCAATCAACCAATCAATCAACCAAACACCCACCATAGCACCCAGTATGTGAGTCTGTCAATCCTACAATCACCAAGTCAACTAACAACCTCATTTCTCAGCTCTCCAACCATTCAGTCAAACACCATCAGTCAATCAGTCAATCAGTCAGTCATTCAGACATTCTCCTAATCAACATTTAAAACAACCAGATAGACATCCAGATATTTCTTTGTCATTTATCAACACTGACAGGTTGGTCTATTCTGAGGAGTGTGCGTGGTTGTTTCCGCGCGCGCGCGCGCGTATGTGTGTGTGTGTGTGTGTGTGTGTGTGTGTGTGTCACACAAATAACATATATTATACTGCTTACTTGTAGACGTTTTTCTCAAATTATGTATTTATATATGCACATACACTGTTGGCCTACATTAGCTGTAATATATATA